TTTGATAATTGATTAGTCGTTTATTGTTCTTTACTTTGTTTTTCTCTCCAAACTGCTTTGACACTTTCCACTGCCACATCTGCCTTTCTGTCCTTGACACACATGCACAGTAGTGGTAACTGAGGTAGGCCGTGGACGTCACAAGACATTATACAGACAGGCTCTGGTATCATGGCTACCTGACAACAGAGCTCTGTGTGAGATTATTTTAAGAAAATAAAAGAGAAACCTGTGTAATATCTGTAAGGCAGAACTTGTCTTCCACAGCAATTATTTTTAGTTACTATATAGCTAAAATCTAACGATAGTTATATGACAGCAGCTGCATTCTGGCGCGATAAGCTCTATGTTTTATATTCTATTAACATATGATCCGATTAGTCGACTAATCGAAAAAATAATCAGTGATTAATCGACTATAAAAATAATTGTTTGTGGCAGCCCTAGTCTAAATTCAAAAATTTAGGCACCCAGAGACTCCAAGTACACAACAAAATACATTTCATGGCTAAAAACGTGGATTTTGCACATGTCCTATTTAATATAAATATACATTTTAAATTAAATTTATGCAAAGGCAATATTTGTCAGATGTCCAACCATTGAGATGCTGGCTTTCAGGAACCCTGACCCCTTTGAACAATTTGGTTGTATAGCCTTTATGAAATGTCATTGGTGGGTCAGGGGTTCGGTTAAGGACTAATGTGAGTTTCAGTTAGGTTTGGGGTCAATACCTGTGAGGTTAGGTCTAGGGTAAGGGGTCAGGGTTAGGCTATAGAAATGACCGCTAAACAAATAGAAGTCAATGCAAAGTCCCCATGAGGATAGAAGAACAAACAGGTGTATGTGTGTGTGTCTGGGCTTATTATCCTTCAGTCAGTAGAACCTCATGCTGAGATAGTTAATGAAATCAGAGGAGCGCATGATACGGAGCTGCTCCATTTATTAACACACAGACATGGAGAGGCTGAGTCTGAGCTGGATCGGAGAGAAAAATGGGAAACAACAACAACAACAAGGAAAAACAAAGTCCACAAATATTTTGGATATTACTAAAACTTWAACCCAAAAATAAAAACCCTGCTTCACCCTGTGCCATCTCCGCTCCCGTCACACCCGAGCACACAAATCTCTGCTCGGCTGAGTTTCGAGCGCTCCCAATGTGAGACCAGATGGTAACTCTACAGCCAAACAAACAAAATTATAATAATAATAATAAAAAATATAAATAAACACACACCTGAATTTGAATGTACAGACATAAAAACACACCATCGGGTGCTCTTTTTAATTATGAGGCACTGAATGTAAGATTTAAAACATCGAGGAAGTGAGCGTGGCGACATATGTGCATCCATTCGTGCGCGTGTGTGTTTCCATGTCAAGGGAGGTCTGTTGTGTTTGCACTTGACAGCACCTGCTGTTATTGGACACACTGGGCCCAGCTGGCACCAGTGTGAGTGTGTGTGTGTGTGAGAGACAGTGTCTATGAAAGAGACAGAAGAATGAAAGATATCTTTTTGTGTTTCTGTCTTTGTGCGCCGTCTCCGTCTCTTTGTTTCTTTGTGTGTTCGGTTCATTGTATTAYGTGTAAGTGTGTCCTCCTATTGAAAATTATTTAGTGCTGCGACTGTGCGCCCCCTTTCACAAGTATGCACACACACCCATAAAGAGGCCATTACAYAAAGTCAGAGGCCTCCCTGCCCATTACCGAGGACCCCTCCCCCGCAGGGGTGGGTGCCCCTTTTTTCATTATCAACAATATAAAGTCTTCACTCGAGCTGGGGAAACACACACTTATACACTTCCCCCCTCAAAAAACACATTTGTAAATCACACCAACACAATGTGGTGTGAAGCTTTTAATAAAGAAGAAAGAACACGTCAGGATGTTACTAATCCTTCGTTGGTGCAGATTGCTCTGAACTGGGTCGAYGTAGGAACCAATAGAGGCAATATTCAAATCGAGTCCATCTGTCCCTTAGTGGGGSCCACACTTTTCATTTCATATGAAATTCTCATTACATGGCTCAGCTGCAAAACAACCAACATCAGCTGTTTCGCTTCTTCGGAGTCGAGTCTTTCACGGCAGCAYRATGGATAAGTGKTTAGCACYGGTRCCTCACARCAAGAAGGTCCTGGGTTCGATCCCCAGATTCCTTTTCTGTGCAGAGTGTTCTCMTCGAGCTTGCGTGGGTTTTCTCCAGGTACTMYGGTTTCCCTCATAGAACAAAAACATGTACAATAGGTTGCCTTCTGGCCAAGGCCGCCCTTGCAAAAGAGATCAGCGTTCTCAATGGGATTTGCCTGGTTAAACAAAGGTAAAATAATAATTAAAAATAATAATAAACTCTTATTCTCCTGAGAGATGAAAAGTATCAACTTCTCCAATGKTTGAAGAGTCCAATTGTCCTCAGCAGTGGCGGAGCCAGACATTTTTCTCAGTGGTGGCCAGACGGGGACCACTACTCACACAGGKGTGGCCAGGAAAATTACATCATTTTTTTACTTGAAAGTTTCTTCACACATATTGTTTTTTTGTCATTTCCTTATGTTCTTATACAGGCAGTGACTACCTTATAAACATGACCATTTTAAAAGTGGGGGG